ATCACGATATTTATTTAATAATAATAAATCACTTAAGTATTTTACAATATTATTTCTACATTTTTTTTATTCAAATATTGATTTAACGACGTAAAGTTTTTATATTTACGAGATTGAATTCGAGGTTTTACATAAATATATAATTGGAGTTTATGTACACGACTACAGGGGAACAAGAATACTTTAGGAAATGAAAACAGCCGAGATGATCTTCTGAAATATTAAACCCAGGAGTTTTTTTACAACACAAAAGCCATGAATTTTGCTCACGCTTTTTTCACAAACAAAGAAGAGAGATATTTCTTTTTCTTCTCTCCCCCCCCAAAAAAAACATTAAATAAAAAATTAATAAATAAAAAACATCAATTAATCGTCTCTCCTTTAATTCCGGGTCAATCAATTTGTAATGTACTGTAACTGGGCTGTACCTTAACCCAGTATTCCAAGATACAGTAACTGTAATACATTTCTTATAAATTCTGACCTATGTAAGAATTTCAAGAGATTGTTTATATTCTCACGGATATAAATCACCGAGTTTGAATTTATTTACAACAAATCGCCAACTTTGTTTTATCACGAGAATAAATAACTTTTGTTTTTTTTTCACGAAAGTAAACGACAAAATTGGAAAAAAATCTGCGAGTTTCTTTTTTTCACGAGAATAAATCACAAAAAGTTTCCCCCCCAAGAGTAAATCCTGTGTTGTTTTTCTTCTTGTTTTTTTTCACGCAACTTCGTTCAAAATGGGATTAAGTCTTCAGGTGCCATTAACTTAGCTACTTAACCGATCTTCAGCGAAAAGTCCATTAGGTAATAAAAGGTAAATGACTTTATAATGGAACAGTGTATTTTTAAGACCTGTAGTGTATATACTTTCTCCTGGTACTTTCACATATCTCCCTTAGTACTTTCCTAATATTTTCCCAAGTACTTTCCCAAGATTTCAACTAGTATTTTTCCCCAGCAATCTCATGATACTTTCCATTGCTTTCTACTAGTATTCGTTCTTGCATACTTTCTCCTGGTAAATTCCCTTTCTCTTTACACTCTCTCCAGTATTAGTGTCCTCGTACAAGAGAGAGAGAGAGAGAGAGAGAGAGAGAGAGCTGCCACCACGCTAATAACCGTCTCTGTCCAACTTTGCGTCAAATCTGTAATTAGTGGCAAGGTGGGGAGGGAGGGCGGGGTAGAGGGGGGAGAGGGGAGGAAGAGGGGGATGTGTATGTAGGAGAGGGGGAGCTGGAAGATGATTGAAGAGGAAAGGGGAGATGGGGAAGTGGTGGGGAGTGTGTCTAAATAGGGGTGGAGGGAGGGTAGGGATGGAGGTAAAATATAACTAAAATAAAGACAACATAAAACTAAGAAAAAATAAAACCAAAATAATAGTAAAACAAACAAAACTAAAACAAAACCAAACAAACAATCCCAAATAAAATAAAACAAAATTAAACTAACATAAACCCAACTTGCAGGTGTCTACACAAGTCACTAAAAAATAAATAAACACTTAGATGGGAGAAAATAATTTTTGCGGGAAAAAATTATTTACACAAGAAAAAAAAACAGGAAATTATAAAAAATAAATATAATATTTTTTTTTTTTGGGGGTAAATAAGAATATATTTAATTTGTATTCTATTTTAATATTGCAATAGACAAGAAAATTGTGACAAGAATTGCTTGACTTTATTGAACGTTTTGGGATTTTTCCTTAGCAATCTTATCATACACTCGTTCCCCCCCAAAAAGAAATATCTTTACGATTTTGCGCGAGACAATATGACACAACGGACGAATGATTCTGACAACCCTACCGAGACAACAGGAGTCGCAGTGTTCATTTTGAAATTGATCGGTCCCTTCCGTGAAGATACTATCTGGAGCGAGTGTACATGAGGTATCTGCCCACGAACCGTACTACGACATAGGTCAGTATGGAACTAATGACACTGAACACTAACTCGTTTTCTTTGACCCTCGGAACACCCGGGATACCATTGCGCGAACAGTAAATTTTGAAACATATCATAAACTTTGCCATAACTGCACCAATATTTACCATGTAGAGACCTTGCTACACCTTAACTTAACCTAACCTAACCTAACCTAACCTAACCTACCAAGTTTAGTGCAAATTCGCAAACCTGTTCTTGAGTTATTTTAGGAGCACGCACGCACACAGAGCCGTCCTGGGGAAAATAATGACAGACCTGGGTATCAGCCTTTGTAGAGTCTTATATGGTGGGGGTGAAGGAATGAATGGGGGTATGGAGGAGGGGAAGAAGGGGTAAAGGGGGAGGAAGTGGAGGGGGTGTGAAGGAGGGGTGTGGAGGAGGGGTGTGGAGGAGGGGGGTGGGAGGAGGGGGGTGGAGGAGGGGGTGAGTGGAGGGGGTGTGTGAAGGAGGGGTGTGGAGGAGGGGTGTGGAGGAAGGGGTGTGGAGGGGGGTGTGGAGGAGGGGTGGAGGAGAGGGTGTGGAGGAGGGGGTGTGGAGGAGGGGTGGAGGAGGGGGGTGTGGAGGAGGGTGTGGAGGAGGGGGTGTGGAGGAGGGGGTGATGGAGGAGGGGTGTGGAGGAGGGGGTGTGGAGGAGGGGGTGTGGAGGAGGAGGGGGGGTGTGTGGGAGGAGGGGGGTGTGGAGGAGGGGGTGTGGAGGAGGGGTGTGGAGGAGGGGTGTGGAGGAGGGGGTGGGAGGAGGGGGTGTGGAGGAGGGGTGTGAGGAGGGGGTGGAGGGAGGGGGTGGAGGAGGGGTGGGAGGAGGGGGGTGTGGAGGAGGGGTGTGGAGGGGTGTGGAGGAGGGGTGGGTGGGAGGGGTGTGGAGGAGGGGGGTGTGGAGGAGGGGTGGAGGGAGGGGGTGTGGAGGAGGGGGTGTGTGGAGGAGGGGGGTGTGGAGGAGGGGTGAGGAGGAGGGGGTGTGGAGGAGAGGGGTACAGAGTAAACCTCCATCTTTGTGTTGGATCTTTCTTACTTGTGTCACTTAATTAATTCTCACGTTAACATTTAAACTAGAGTCTAGATACATTTTTGGCGCCATTTGTAGAGCTCTATAGTCAAGGTCGGCGTTAGGTACGTTCTCACATTAACTGACAAAATAGTCCCAGCATAATTTTGGCGCCATTTTGACATCCATCCATATCTGTACTGCTATTTGGGGGAGGACATAAAATTCGTTCTTACAATTACACTCGTCTTAGTGTAATTCCGACTCCATTCAGGTCAGTCGTATCTACGGTACAGTCAGTCGTAGAGATGTTTGCCCTCAGCCCCGGGTAGTGCGTGGTTCAGGAGCCTCCCAGAAAGTGGAGTGAGAAAGACTCACAAGTTGGCTGGTTTATCGTCCGCCGCCCCACCACGAGATACGAGCCTCGTAAACGAGTTTTGTGTTCTAAATCTTGCGGATATTGCACGCCCGATTGTGTCTTAGGAGGTGGGGGAGGTGTGACTGGCAGGGGTAGGAGTGACGGGCAGGGGGAGGTGTTACTGGGAGGGTATGGGGAGGGGGAGGAGGTGACTGATAGGGGTAGAGAAGTGGGGAGGAAGGGTGTTTGCTACCAGGAAGGAGGGAGGCAGGGTGGAATGAAGAAAAGAGGAAGGTGCAATGCTGCAGGGAACAGCTGGCAGTCGGGGAGGTGTAATGCTGCAGGGAACAGCTGTCAGACGGGGAGGTGTAATGTTGCAGGGAACTGCTGGCAGTCGGGGAGGTGTAATGCTGCAGGGAGCAGCTGGCAGTCGGGGAGGTGTAATGTTGCAGGGAACAGCTGTCAGTAAGGGAGGTGTAATGCTGCAGGGAACAGCTGTCAGTAAGGGAGGTGTAATGCTGCAGGGAAAGGCTGTCAGACGGGGAGGTGCAATTATATTTTCTTTAACCGGCCTTTAATTTATCATTGATTAACCTTTTTTTTTCATAAACAAAAATTATTCTTTTATTAAAACTTATGTGTTTCATTAATTAAGAAAGTTAATGTTTATTTTTAATTGTTTTTCAAATAAATTTTCACTAATGATTACAAGAATTTATAATTTCCATTTTCAGAGCCTTTTAAAGCTCGTTTTTATTTTATATTGAAATTTCCGTAAACCAAGAGACTATACAGATATATTTATTCTCAATGTCTCGTATCTATTTCCCTCGTGTCTCGTAATATTTAGTTTTATCTCGCAATGTCTCATTCAGTCTCGTGATATGTCGCTACTTTATGCAATACCTAGTGGTCTCTACATTGTTCTCTTAAATACATAGCAGTAACGTTTCTATGCACCGCACTCTCTCTCTCTCTCTCTCTCTCTCTCTCGCTTTACAAGACATTTTAAAGCAGTACAGCATAAAACTACGATCACACGCCTTGCACAACATCATCTCACAAAACTAAGACATTTTTCAACGCCATACCTTTTTTGCTAAACTCGAAAGATTTTGCATCATGAAAGCATCTTGCAACAATACAGTATCTTACGGTTTCTTGCAACACCGAATTATCACATCATCTCGCAGGTCAGATATCACGTGATATAATCTTTTGCAATATTTTTACAGCCTCTTGCAATACTTTAGGATATCACAACAAGTCATCTCTCTGAACAACATTACAGCATCTTGCAACACAATTACAGCATCTCGCAACACAATTACAGCATCTTGCAACACTAAAACAGCATCTAGCAACACTATTACAGCATCTTACAACAGTTACAGCATCTTGCAACACAATTACCACATCTTACAACACTATTACCACATCTAGCAACACTATTACAGAATCTCGCAACACAATTACAGCATCTTGCAACACTATTACAGCATCATACAACAATTACAGCATCTTACACCAGTTACAGCATTATGCAACACATTTACAGCGTCTTACAATGTTGTTACCACATCCTGCAACACTTTAGGATGCAGCAACACGCCACCGTCCATGACAACACCGAGTAATCTTGCAAAACTAATACCTACTTCATGTCAGATCAATTTCCGGACAACCATGAGCCGATCAACAGGATAGGAGGATCAACAGAGGATCAACAGAGGATCAACAGAGGAGGATCAACAGAGGAGGGTCAACGGAAGATCAACAGAGGAGGGTCAACAGAGGATCAACAGAGGAGGGTCAACGGAAGAGGATCAACAGAGGAGGATCAACAGAGGGTCAACAGAGGATCAACAGAGGAGGGTCAACAGAGGATCAACAGAGGAGGGTCAACGGAAGAGGATCAACAGAGGAGGATCAACAGAGGGTCAACAGAGGATCAACAGAGGAGGGTCAACGGAAGAGGACAGAGGAGGATCAACAGAGAGGGTCAAGAGGATCAACAGAGGAGGGTCAACAGAGGATCAACAGAGGAGGGTCAACGGAAGAGGATCAACAGAGGAGGAGGATCAACAGAAGAGGGTCAACAGAGGATCAACAGCAGGAGGATCGACAGAGGATCAACAGAGGAGGATCAGCAAAAGAGGAGGTCAGCAGAAGGATCAACAGAGGAGGATCAACAGAGGGTCAACAGAGGATCAACAGAGGAGGATCGACAGAGGATCAGCAGAGGAGGGATCAACAGAGGAGGATCAACCAGAGGAGGGTCAGCGGAAGAGGATCAACAGAGGAGGATCAACAGAGGATCAACAAGGAGGGATCGACAGAGGATCAGCAAGGGAGGATCAGAGGATCAGCAGAGGATCAACAGGATGATCAACAGAGGGAGGATCAACAGGGAGGATCGACAGAAGGGGGCAACAGGAGGATCGACAGAGGATCAACAGAGGATCGACAGAGGATCAGCAGAGGAGGATCGACAGAGGAGGATCAACAGGAGGATCAACAGAGGATCAACAGAGGATCAACAGAGGAGGATCGACAGGAGGATCGACAGAGAAGTCAACAGGAGGATCGACAGAGGATCAACAGAGGATCAACAGAGGAGGATCGACAGAGGGATCAAGCAGGGGAGGATCGACAGAAGGATCAGCAGAGGAGGATCGACAGAGGATCAACAGAGGATCAACAGAGGAGGATCAGCAGAGGAGGTCAACAGAAGGGAGGATCGACAGAGGATCAACAGGAGGATCGACAGATGAGGATCAACAGAGGAGGATCAACAGAGGAGGATCAACAGAGGAGGATCAACAGTGAAGGATCAACAGAGGAGGATCAACAGTGGAGGATCAACAGAGGAGGATCAACAGTGGAGGATCAACAGAGGAGGATCAACAGTGAAGGATCAACAGAGGAGGGTCAACAGGGAAAGAGAATTAACAGGAACACGAGAACAGTAACCTATCTTGTCCACGATACCTTCACCAGGTAAACTACACAGGTAAATTAGGGTCATTTCTTCCCTAATTTGTTTTACTTTTTTCGATCACGGGAACAACTACACCGGCGAGTCTCGTGTTACCTGAGCAATTAGCATCGTTTTTGGATATTAGCGGCAGCAGTGGGCGGTGGGTTATGGGCGGTGGGCAGGGGGTGGTGGGTGGTTGGTTATACTCGTGTCTATACTTAAACCCCCGCGTGTGTGTGTGTGTGTGTGTGTGTGTGTGTGTGTGTGTGTGTGTGTGTGACAGAGACAAACAGAGAACCAGACAGATACACACACATACACACACAATCAAAACAACAACAAAAACAGCCTCTATAATTATACTCATCTCTATAATAAGACTCTTTAGTTATAATACGTTCCCAGTAGATTATACCTGATATAATTATACGCTTGGCTCTCACTGAGGTATAACTAATATAAATTATACTCAAGTACCGCCTATCTGTCTCTTAGTATCCTCAGGGCAAGAAGTCTTACCTAGGAAAAGAAAAAAAATATATATAACACACACAAAATATACGATAAAATAATAACTAATAATAATATACACAACTAATACCGTATATATATATTTTTTTTCAAGGAAGATGACATATAATATATCAGTGTCTCTCGTGTAACCTAGAAGGAAAATAATAACAGCAAGGGTTTTTCATTTGAGGTCAAAGGTCATATATGTTTTTTTTTTCACGTGATTTTCCATAACGTTAAGAAAAATATAATAATCATATATCGTGTTAACATTTTTTCTTCATATTCAAATGTATCTCTAAATTACGTAACAATTTCACTGCATTTCACTGAATCTGTCAAAGTAAATTTTTCTTTTTGCTTTTAAGGCCCACAACTCCATGACAGGGTATTGCTTTCGGTGTGTGTGTGTGTGTGTGTGTGTGTGTGTGCGTATGCGTGTGTGTGTGTGTGCCATGGTACCAGTTCACGGGCAGGTTTACGCAAGCTGGGATAATGCTTACTTTATTATCAGTTTACAATTTTGTTTTTATAATTACAAAACAGAGACAAATATAGAGATGATTCCCCCCCCCCCCCCTCCACCTCCCCTCTCCCCCCAGAAAGAAAAAAAACCAATAAACATAAAACATGTATTCGAGACTGAACAAAATAAACGACCACTTCACAACAACCCATTATTCCAAGATGACAGAGGCACCACTCCTTACGTCTGGCTCAAGAGACATCTCTCCCTGTCTTACTGAATGAGAGACTGACTGAAAGAGTAGACCGACTGAGTGGACTGACTGAGTGGGTGGACTAATTGACTGAGTGGGTGGACTGACTGAGTAGACTGACTGAGTAGATTAACTGACGGGGTGAATTGACTGACTGAAAGATTGTCTGACTGACTGACTGACTCCCTCTCCTAACACAGCAGTACATCAGGGTCTTGTTCACAGTCACTGGCAGTATAATTTATGTAGTTGCTTATTTAATTCAATTTAATTTACTACTACTACCACTACTACCTTGTATAAAACTACTTAGCGCTGACCTAGTTCCTGTTGGCCCCCGGCTGATGATGACTCTCTCTCTCTCTCTCTCTCTCTCTCTCTCTCTCTTATTGCTATTACTACGTATATGTTGTGTACATGAGCCTAACCCTTGGTGTGTACATGAGCCTAGCCCTTGGTGTGTGCATGAGCCTAACCCGTGGTGTGTACATGAGCCTAGCCCTTGGTGTGTGCATGAGCCTAGCCCTTGGTGTGTGCATGAGCCTAGCCCTTGGTGTGTGCATGAGCCTAGCCCTTGGTGTGTGCATGAGCCTAACCCTTGGTGTGTACATGAGCCTAGCCCTTGGTATGTACACGAGCCTAGCCCTTGGTATGTACACGAGCCTAGCCCTTGGTATGTACATGAGCCTAGCCCTTGCAGTGCACACGAGCCTCTAACACCCTGTGTACCCAAGCTGTGTCCACGTCTCGCAGCGGGCCGCAAGTGTAGCTGTGTATTAATAAATTACGGTAATCAACTTGGACCAAACACTACTTCAGCTCCTGCAGTTATAATTCACCGCCATAAACTTGTGTATATACCAGGCTAACCACTCCGTTCTACTGCCTAAATAATTTACCATGATGAACCAGCATTATATACTCGCTTTACGGCCGTCCTCTTAACTTAGGGAATATTGAAATAAATTTGAAATAATTGTGGAGGAAATGTTCTATCCGCTCTCCAGGACGATATAACTAGTATGTCATGATAGATTTTTGTATATATTAATCAAACGATACTCGGCATCTACACTAATTTGTAACAATTTTGCCACAATTTACAATAATTTACTCTTCTGGGGACTAGATCTATAATAAGATTTTTTTTTATCACCAACAGAGTAAAATGAGTAGTTCCTCTGCGCCTCTGAGAAGTGTGTCACCAGTACAACAACCTCTGGCAGCGCTGCCTGAGACACGATGTATGCTATATGGTGGGCAGACTTAATTAATCTATTCCCTTCCATTAATCATATTGATGGATGGCGCCTCTCCTGCCAGTGTTATGAGGGAGGTCTTGAGGCCTCAGCAACAGAGAGTTCCTGTCAATTAGGTGAGACAGTTATTTCTTCTTTATGACTGGTACAGTTTACCCATGGCATAATACTGCGTCATTGCAAGTGTTCACATTTGTTGATTGATTATTTCCGTGTTACGTAATAATCTACCTACGCTACGGTACAATTTTTTGAAGAACAAAAGAATTAAAAACAAAGTTACCGACTTAATAATAATAATTGGGATATACAAATAAATACTACAATATAACTTTGATTTGGCACCACTGTAAAGAACTTATTATTTTCTTGAAACGGGGAACTGTAAAATACACCAACCACATCTACACCAACACCTTCTACACCAACACCATCTACACCAACACCTTCTACACCAACACCTTCTACACCAACACCTTCTACACCAACACCTTCCTCGAGTTAGGGATAATTATCTACCAGCAAATCCTCTTTATTTTGTAGTTATTAAGAAGCAGGAACACAACAAACGTATATCAGGGCCCAACAACTACAATAATAAGTATAACAAAATAAATAAATAAATTACCATAGACTTCACAACCCCCTCAAACAAAAGATCAACATTTAGTGCATCATGTATTGTGGAAAGTGAACTATAAAATGATAATAATTGCCCTTTGTGTTTGAGGGCTCTAAGGTGTTAACTCTGCTGCACACACAACAACCCAGGATGACGAGGTGTATGACCCGGGGCGTCAAGGAGTAGCCCAGGAAAACCGGACAACTCCCCAACCGCACTGGCATAGCCATTAGACAGACGTATACATCAAGCTCATTAACTCAAAAGAAAACCATACGTAAAATAAGATTAATAATAAAAAATAAATGCCACACACCTCTAACCCTCCCTCCACCCACCTCCAGCCCCCAAACCTCCCTCCACCTACACCTCCAGCCCCCAACCCTCCCTCCACCCACCAACTCAAAACAAATGACGAACGCTCCGACCTAAAGGTGAGGAGCGACTCATTGAGCGACCTCTACCTGCCATACAAGGTCACAAGTATGATAATCTCGGCCGTAAGCCAGAGGCACCTGGGCCTTATCCTCTTGTCTGGTAGCGGCGTTGAATAGCTGTATAACGAGACCTACTCTAGAGGTCGCTGAATGGTGAGGTAATGAGGTGTTCTCCTTAGAGGCCGCGGCGCTAACACCAGAGGCCGAAAAGCAGTACATAGAGGGTAAATAATTAAACGCCCACACCTGTATGGTCGACCCGCGCTTCAGACATTCCAGTGGCCGGCCGGAGGTGAGGGTCTGTTTTACCCATTGTAGCGTGCTGACGGTGTTGTGAACGCTGGGGTGTTGTATTGAGACGTGCTGACGGTGCTGTGAACGCTGGGGTGTTGTATTGAGACGTGCTGACGGTGCTGTGAACGCTGGGGTGTTGTATTGAGACGTGCTGACGGTGCTGTGAACGCTGGGGTGTTGTATTGAGACGTGCTGACGGTGCTGTGAACGCTGGGAGAGGATTGGGGTTAAAAGTAAACTCCGAGAGAAAATAAAATGTAAAGTGAACGCTGGAAAGAAAATTGCTGTGTTATCTTCAAGTGAGAGGGAAGTGAGAGAGGAGTGAAGGAGTGAGGAAGAAGTGAGAGAGGAGTGAAGGAGTGAGGAAGTGAGAGAGAAGTAACAGAAGTGAGAAAGGAGTGAGGGAGGAGCGAGGGAAGGAACTGAGTTGTGAGAGAGTAAGAAAATGGAGAGATGTTTAGAGATAAGTAAAGGATAAGGAATTCAGACGCCATTTTGGAAAGCTATCTTTGTGCCTTAGCTTAAGTCACCCATAGAAATATTTTCATAGCAGGTGAAAATAAAGCTAACTGAAAGGAAAGTGAAGATTAGTTAAAGGAAAGTGAACATAAGCTAAAGTAGAGTAAAGATAAAGCTAACACAGAAGGGGGGAGAGCTGATGAAGCTTATTTTACTGTGGGAGGTTGCTGGTGGTGCGATGCTGATAGCTGAGTGCGTCACTGGCGGGTCTGTTCACGACAGCTCTCTCTCTCTCTCTCTCTCTCTCTCTCTCTCTCTCTCTCTCAGCTGTCCCTTACCTTCACTCATAATACATATCAGCTGTTTTATGTTAATGTTTACATCAGATCAGCTGTTTCTTCCCTTCGGTCACAATACACATGATCAGTTTCGTGTCGACAGGAAGCCCTCCCTCCTCCCCTCCCTCCTCCCCCCTCCCTCCCCCTCCCCTCCCCACTCTCCTGATCGTCATTTTTCCCTCCCAGCGGTTCAAGACAATACAAATATCCCTTAAACCAGCTGCTCTCACCTTTCAGATGACAGCAACAGCAGCAGTAATAAAGAGAACAGCAGCAAAATGAGAGGACTTCCGCTCTTGCATTTTATGTTCGTGGGAAATAACATAGAGCCGACGTTCTCTGCTGGGGCTGCCAAGGCGGGTTTATTATTACGGTTTCTCTCCTGCAGTGTATCACCTGTACCATGATCTCTCTCTCTCTCTCTCTCTCTCTCTCTCTCTTTTATTCTCTCTCTCTCTCTCTTTCCTTCTCTCTCCCGGGTGATAATTGAACGAACGTCGTTGAGTCTCTCTTTAATCTTGTCCTAATTTCATCAACGTCAGAGAAAACGCTCAGATTTTATTCTCATTTTCCCTCAATTTGATGCATATTCTTAACACCATATGAGTCTGGTTACGAAACTTATGAAAATGAAAAATAAAACAAATAATCTGGTCATATTGTATCTTAAAACGTTAAATATATTAATATAATTTACATATAAAACATTTACTTATACAATCGTCCACCACAGTTTTTAAGTCTTAATATAAGTGACAAAACCTGACACCTGGACAATTAGGCTTAACAACCCCCCTGAACTATTGCTATGCTCGGCCCTACGTCTCCGCTCAGCTTTTCATAAACTTTTCATATTTTCGACGTCTCCTCCAAACTACCTCCTCAATTTTCCAGAAACTTCAATGAAAAGTTCCTTGGATGGTCCTTCCTCATCACTGCGTCTGAAGGTAGACAAGGCCACACACACACACACACACACACACACACACACACACAAACACACACTTAATCTGTGCTATGTCTGTTTTATTTTCCATTATATGAAAACAATTCCACAAAACACTGAAAAAAAATAACTGATTGGAGTTGACTTTTAAAAGGTTTAATATGGAGGTGTTAATGAATTACTTATAAACTGAAGGACACAGGTATTTAGTGTTAGTATATTAAAATGTATACATACTGCAAAATACAAGTATGTGTTAAAATATACGATCCACTTACCCAGGTAATTCTTATTCCATTCAAGGGTCAACTGTCGCCTCATCAAACTAAATGGACAAATATTACTACATATTAGAAGAAATAAGGAAGAAATTAAGAGATAAGAAATTCCAGTTCAAAATATCATCTGTGAAAACCTAAAAAAAAAAAATAATCCATTGAAATTATGACTCTACATGTCACTGGGTACGTTCCTTGCGTTGTACTCAGCCAGCAGTACTCAGGTGGCAATATTCAGGCAGTAATACTCAGTTAGCAGTACTTAAACAGTAGTATTCATGTTGCAGTACTCAAACATCAGTACTCTGGCAGTAGTACTCAGGCACTAATACTCTGGCAGTAGTACTCAGGCACTATTAATCTGGCAGTAGTACTCAGGCACTAATACTCAGGTACTAATACTCTGGCAGTAGTACTCAAGCATAGATTTATGGAAACAAATTAGTTCTATGTCCAAATTTGTTGAGTTTTTTTTATTAAGGTATGACTGATGACGATGAAGACAACGAAGTAGAATGATGATCAAGACAACGAAAAAAGACGAAGAAGAAAACGAAAACTAAAAAAAAAAATCAGTAGAATGTTCACATTTAATTCAGCATATGAAAAATGTTTAATACATCCTGTAAAACTGTATAAACCATCACAAAATTATTTCCGTATAGTCTAATAAAAACAAACATTTACCTCAAAGAACATATTGTAAAAATTAATGCTATTAATTTAGTCGATTCTATGGTGAGGGTAATGTAATCACCGTGTGTGTGTGTGTGTGTGTCCACTATCCTCCACTACTCCCAGCACCTCCCCCTGACAGACCCCTTCCAGCCCTCAACACCCCCTCCCCCCCCCTCCCCTTGTCCCACAGCAGCGACACAACGGGATCAACGTGAACCTCTTCTCCACTCCTACGTACTCTCAATCCTTACTTTCTCTGGCTCTCCCTAGACTTTCTCTGGCTCTCCCTATTTTTTCTGACCTTTCACTAGACTTTAATTGGCTCCCTTTTCCTTCTTTATTACTTTTTCCCTCTCTTCTTCCTCCTCATTCCCTCCCCTTTCTTTGACCTCATCTCTCTCTTTCTCAATCTCTATTCCTCTCTTTTATCTCTTTTTTCCTTCTTTCTCACCCATTATTCCCCACTTCCACATCTTTTTTTCCCCGGCCTTTTCTAACTCCCCCCCCTCCCCCCAGACTACTCACCATTTCTTCAAGGATTAAGACATTTGATAACCTTTTAACCCGAAAGGAGCCTCAATGCCTCTTTTTTCACCGCTCTAGCCCCTTCCCTCACCCCCCTAACACATTCTTCCTCAACTTCTTACACAACTTTGTCGTTTTTTTTTGGGGGACTTGTTTCCTTTGGAGTTGGTCAGCCTTACTTCTTTCGATTTTTTTTTCCCGAACATGTTTCCTGGGTTTGTTTCCTTTGGATTTGCTTCATTTGGACTTGTTTTCTTAGATTTAATTTCTGGAACTTGTTTCCTTGCACAAGTTCCTTCTGGGAGGGTAAGCCTGCTGCAGCGAGGAACTGCATTTATGGAGTTGGCTTTGTCATCCGCCAATCCATCCTACACAGGCTAACTGAAATGCCTGTTGGGATCAACGAGCGCCTCATGACGTTCCGAGTCCCACTGAATCACTCACGTCATGCCTTCTTCATCAGTTCATATGCCCCAACACTGGATGCAGAGGATGACATCAAGGAGGCCTTTTACGCCGACCTTGACAGTGTGCTAACCTCTATCCCCAGAGAAGATAAGGTTGTGATCCTTGGTGACTTCAATGCCAGAGTTGGCAGAGATGCTGACACATGGCAGGGAACCATAGGGAGAAACGGAGGAGGCAAGTGTAGTTCCAAAGACCTACTCCTCCTCAACAAGTGTGCTGTACAAACCTCACTATCACCAACACCTTGTTTAGGCCCGCCAAGTTCAAGGGTTCTTGGCAACACCCACGATCTAAACATTGGCATTTCATTGACTTCATCATTGTCAGGCAAAGAGATCGTCGAGATGTCCTCATCACCCGAGCCATGTGTGGCTCAGACCACAGTATGACACAGACCATCGGCTCGTCAGAGCCAAGCTCTCACTTCACGTCGCCCCACAACGGCGAAGGCAAAAAGACTTCAAAAGAGGTTTTAACACCAAGCGTCAGGAGGATCAAGCGGTAGCACATGCTTTCAGAGAACAGCTCGAACAGGGAGGCTGATAAATAACCCAAATCCCAGTGCCTAATGAGGTGTTCTCGACACTGTCATGACAAAAACCTGCAGAGACCCTCGGCCAGATCTAAAGAATACACCAGGACTGGTTTGTTAAAAGTGACCCGGAAATCAACGTTCTCATCGATGGTAAACGTTGCTGCTTTCAATGGCTGGCAGAACAACCCTCAGTCTCGGACCAAAGCTGATACCTTCCGCAAGAAGAAAATGATGACCCAGCACGAACTTCGCAAACAAAGGAACGAATGGTGTTAAAATAAAGTGTGTGAAACGCAAAAAAATTGCAGATCAATACAAGATGTGCAAATTTTTCACTTCCGTTAACGCAATCTATGAGAGAGAGAGAGAGAGAGAGAGAGAGAGAGAGAGATTGTACGACCAGAAAAAAATATAAAAATGCCCAATTCCAAGAACAGAAAATGGCTAACAATTTAGATTTACATAAACTACAATACCCTAAAATTTAAGCTGGCCCCCGACCCAAATCTCTTCCCTTCCTTCACCCCTTACTCCTCCGCTCTTCTGCCCTCACCTCCGCCTCTTCTCTCCCCTTACCTCCGCTCCTCTCCCCCACTCCTCCGCTCCTTCCCCTTACCTCCGCTCCTTCCCCGGAACTCAAGATGGAAGTGGCAATTTAAAAGAACGTTTCCTTACTTTCAAAAGAATTAAATCTTCATATAGCTCAGTTCCAAAAGATAAGGGAGGAAGAAGTTACGGTGAAACGAGGAGAAGAAAGAAAGAAAGAAAGAAAGAAAAGAAAGAAAAGAAAGAAAGAAAGCAGAATAAGAAGGCCTCACATGACGTGGCTCCTCTGCATATACATCAAAGTTAAGTGACTGAAGTTAGGAACAGAGGGAAGACGTTAACGAAGATGGAAGCGAAAATAAGGAGAGGAAAAGAAAGAAGCAAATAAAGAGAAAAGTCAAGAAGAAGGAATTGAACAAAATGGGAGAAAACAATGAGTGACGAAAAGGAAGAACGGAAATAAGGAAAGGTAACGTAAAGAAGAAGGAAGAAAGAGAATGAGAGAAAGACAAGAAGAAGACATTGAGGAAATAAAGGAGGAAAAGAAGACAGAAAGAAGACAATAGGGAAGAAATTAACGTCTCAGACACAGGAAGAGAAGACAAGACTGAGTGGACAGACAGACAGATAGACAGACAAACAAGACAGAGACAGACAGACAGAGTGGACAGACAGACAGACAGACAGACAGACAGACAGACAAGACAAAGACAAAGACAATTTTATTATACCCATATTATCAACCTTAAAACAGCTCCATCCACACGACACATCCATCCACACGGCACATCCATCCACACGGCACATCCACCCACACGGCACATCCACCCACACGGCACATCCACCCACACGGCACATCCATCCACACGGCACATCCATCCACACGGCACATCCATCCACACGACACATCCATCCACACGACACATCCATCCACACGGCACATCCATCCACACGGCACATCCATCCACACGGCACATCCATCCACACGGCACATCCATCCACACGGCACATCCATCCACACGGCACATCCATCCACACGGCACATCCATCCACACGACACATCCATCCACACGACACATCCATCCACACGACACATCCATCCACACGACACATCCATCCACACGACTCTATCCACCTCCAACTAAAGAAGGTGAATCACCCTTTTCTCTGACCTACATTTGAACAGGTACAGCTGTAACCATCAATGATTCATTCTGTAGCTCTCAAACACTGTATCAATCATCTAATTTTATGTATTTTAAGGTGAGATACAGCGGAGGTACACACACACACACACACACACACACACACCAGAAGTAATGTTATGTGGGTCATCTTTTTTTTCTTTCTTGACATTTTCTTATCTTTCTGATTGTCTTTGTCGCTCTCTTCTGTACCTTTGTTATTCTCTGTGTCTGTCTGTCACTCTTTATCTTGTTCTCTCTACCGCTTTCTATCTTATTTTTCTATCTTGTATTAGTCTCTCTCACTTCTTTGTTTATCTTCTCTATCTCTCTTTTATCTTTTCTATTACCGCTTTATACCCCTCCACCTCTCTCTCTCCTCTCTCTCTCTCTCTCTCTCTCTCTCTCTCTTTATATATTCATTTACCAATACACACATCATTAACAACAATAATGAAAATAGAAAAAATCAACATTACAGAGAGAGAGAGAGAGAAAAAAAACGAATCCACTGCATCATTTGCCTCGGGAGAAAGAAAATAAGAGACAGGTGAAGAAATATGAGACTTTTCCTCCAATATTTACCTTTAAGATAAGAGAAATAATAAAGAAAAAGAAGAGAGAGAGAGGAATAGTTTTATTGCCTCTTTTCTCTTGTTTCACCTACATTATTTTTTATTGATATTTTTTTCTTAGTTTTTCTTTTGTTTCCATTTTAAAATATTTTCACTTTTTTTTTACCAAAATTTGGTTTTTATTTCAATTAACCCAGATCCAGGGCCAGAGAGCTTAACACAACTGACATAACCAATTATTACCACACATCTGACTAGCCCTCCCAGTATCACCACACACCTGACTCGCCTTCCCAATAAACACACCTTCCAATATCTCTATAAATTTGGCAATCTCAACACCAGACACCCGACTGAATTTAACATCACTGCACACGTGACTGAACTGCTCCATGACACTACACACCTGACAACTCTCCATGACACTACATACCTGACAACTCTCCATGACACAACACACCTGACAACTCTCCATGACACTACACACCTGACTAATCACAAAATCTCTGCAATATGACACTACAGGAGACTAGGAGACCAAGTTCCCTGGTGTACTTGCTAAGACTTAAACCATAACAGATCTAAGGACGTCAAATTATGGATCCACGGACGTTAAATCAAGTCCAGCTGGCTTCAAGGACGTCAATTATGGGTCTACGGACGATGATAAACCAAGTCCACCAGCTTGCTTCACGAATGGCAAAACACAACTGCAAAAATTTATATAACAAGTCCAGTTAACAATATTACGGACGTTAAAACAAGTCCAGATGTCTTTCCTGTCGCTTAGATAACGTCCAGATGGGTTGAAGGACGGTAAAATACGCACACGCGGGTTTACGGACCGTAGAAAAACGTCCCGGTGCATTTACGAACACTACAATACATGCAGGTATGTTCACGGACGCTAAAACACTTAAAAACGGACGCTCAAAACTACTGCTCACTGGTGAACGTCAAAACAAGTCAAGGGGATTTTATCATCAACGAAATGGATCAACCTGGTTATCAATCACCCGCTGCTCTGCCCAGTCCATATTGGAGGCTGGACCCCCGGATAGCCTAGCCGGGCCCCCTGCATAGCCTAGCTGGGCCCCCCTAGATACCTCAGCCGGGTCTCCTGGGTAGCTAGCCGGCCCCCTAGATACCTCAGCCGGGTCTCCTGGGTAGTCTAGCCAGGGCTGTTGGTCATACTGCTCGGGACAGATATGAGAAGTGTGTTAACAGTGTGACTCTACCAAACATGGCAGTCGTGGCGTCATCCTGTACTAACGCTGGAGTGTAAAGGACAAACTCATGAGCTTCCATTCCCTGTCAAAGCGATAAATTAAATAAAACAACCAAGCCAAGCCGCCCACCATCCTTGGATTGCCCAGCTAACCCAAAATAATGACCCATTCCGCAACTGTTATCCGCTACCCTAGTATATAATAGGAGATTGTGGATATCCTCTCTCCTAGCAGGTAGGGATTTTGCGGATAACTACCACCCGCTTAACAGATGTGTAATAGTAAACGCGGTAGGAGCGGTTATCTGCTATCCGCTCTCCCAGCAGGTCCAGCAGAAGGTGGTCCTTAACGCTACTCTATATGCTAATGGAGCTCGTTCACTATAACACCGACAGCGACATCCTGAACCCGCGTATAATTCCTTTCATTAATTATAAGTTTAGGGGGAGCACGGACCCTTTAAAGGACGAACTCAAGGAGCACGGACCCTTTAAGGACAAACTCAAGGAGCACGGACCCCTTAAGGACAAACTCAGGGAGCACGGACCCCTTAAAGGACAAACTCAAGGAGCACGGACCCCTTCAAGGACAAACTCAAGGAGCACGGACCCTTAAGGACAAACTCAAGGAGCACGGACCCCTTTAAGGACGAACTCGAGGAGCACGGATCCCTTAAAGGACAAACTCAAGGAGCACGGACCGCTAGACAAATTCAAGGAGCACGGACCCCTTCAAGGACGAACTAGGGAGCACGGACCCCTTAAGGACAAATTCAAGGAGCACGGACCCTTTAAAGGACGAACTCAAGGAGCACGGACCCCTTAAAGGACAAACTCAAGGAGCACGGACCCTTTAAAGGACAAACTAGGGAGCACGGACCCTTAAAGGACGAACTCAGGCACCAGTTGTCTTGGTGAGTGACATTAGCGTATCAGGGACCACCAAAAATAGGTTCATAACTTTAATCCTTCCAGTTACAAAATTAATTCACAAAGTTTCAAGTAAATACTCGAGGATGAGGAGGGTGAGTGAGGGCGAGTGAGGGGTGAGGAGAGGCAGGTGAGGGCAGTGAGGGGTGAGTGAGGGAGAGAGGCGGGTGAGGGGAGTGAGGGTGAGTGGGAAAGGGGGAGGGGCGAGTGAGGGAGAGGGTGAGTGAGGGAGAGGGCTGGTGAGGGTGAGTGAGGGAGATGGGCGGGTGAGGGAGGGGCAGTGAGGGTGAGAGGGAGAGGGTGAGGGGGAGAAGGGCGGGTGAGGGGCGGGTGAGGGGCGGGTGAGGGGTTAGGAGGGCGAGTGAGGGGTGAGTGGGGGAGGGGGAGAGGGCGGGTGAGGGTTTGGATGACGGGTGGTTTAGGGGTGGATGATGAGGGGTGAGTGATGGGTGGATGAGTGGGGTGGGTAAGAGGTGGATGAATTTAAGGTGGTGGCCCGACCTCCTT